TCAACATGTCAATGACATAGAGACATAGTATAAGTAATTCACTATTGTTTCTCCTTACATATACTCCATGATCATCCGTGCACTTCACAAATTTCTTCTCCCTTAAGAAGCTGTTGATTTTCTTATTCCAAACTCTTGGAGCTTGCTTAAGTCCATACAATGCTTTATGCACCTTGTACACCCTTCTTTCTTTGCCTCATTTCACATACCCAGCTGGTTGTGCGACATAAACTTTTTCATTTAAGGGGCCATTAAGGAATGCACATTTCACGTCCATCTGACATGTGTGTCAATTGTTTATATTTGCTAGACCAACAACCAACCTGATTGTTTCGATCCTAGCAACAGGTGCAAACACTTCGTCGAAGTCAATTCCTTCCTTCTAAAGAAATCCTTTCGCCACAAGTACCGCCTTGTTTCGAGTTACTTCTTCTTTAGGATTCACCTTCACCTTGTAAACCCACTTCACATCAATTGCCTTCTTGCCTTGAGGCAATTCGACAAGTGACCAGGTGTTTTGACTTTGATGGAGTCTAACTCCTCATTTATTACTTTCATCCACTTCAAATCTTTCAACGCCTCAACTGTATTGACTGGTTCGACATCTGCGTAGAAAGCATAATGTACCAGGTCACCCTTTTCATCGACCACATCATCTGATGTAATCACACATTCTTGCAACCTTGCATGAATGTGTCTTGTTCGTCGAGGTCTGCTTCATCTCTGAATTGTTCTTGTCGAACTTCTGTTTCAAATTCAGTGGCTAGTTCTTCCCAAGAGAATCTCATTGAATCCTTTATGACATTCTCGGTCCAATCTCATTCATTAAGCTCATCTATGATCAAGTATCTGCCGATCACTACCTGCTTATTCACTGGGTCAAACAACTTGTAACCTCCAGTCAAATGATGTCCTATTGAGATCATCTGATTCGATTTGTCATCAAATTTCCTTCTCAATTGATATGGCACATTTCTATATGCTATAGATATAAACACCTTCAAGTGACTGAGGCTAGGCTTGACATTGGACCAACATTCTTCTGGTGTGATTCCTTCAAGCTTCTTCGTCAGACATTTGTTTAATATGTATGTTGTCGTCGAACCTGCTTCTCCCTATAATTCTTTGGGTATATGTTTTCATTCAACATACTTCTCACTATGTTTATGATGGTTCTGTTCTTTCTTTCTACAATTGCATTTTGCTGTGGAGTGTAGGGTGGCACCACCTCATGCACAATCCATTCTTTTTCACATAATGCATTGAACTCTTTCGGCACATACTCTCCACCACCATCAGTCCTAAGAATTTTCAGCTTTCGACCACTTTGTCTTTCGACCATAGATTTGAATCTGGAAAATACCTTAATCACTTCACTTTTCTTCTTGATCAGGTAAGTCCATAATTTTCGACTGTAATCATCTATGAACCTAACAAAGTATCTGTTTCCTGCAATTGAATCCACATGGATTGGACCACATACATCAGAGTATATGACTTCCACAGTTGCCTTTGACTTCCTTCCTGCATCCTTGTTAAAGTTATTCTTGTGTTGTTTCGACTGAACACACTCTTCACAGGCTTTACTTGGAATGTCGATTTTAGGTAATTCTGAAGCCATATTTCTTCTCTTTAGCTCTCTGATGTCATTGAAGTTAATATGCCCTAGTCGATCTTGAAGGTCTTATTCTGAGACATTGGAGCCTTCAAGATCAACCTACCACTTGTGTCGAGAACTTTCATTATGTTGTCTTTGATCGTCACCTTGTAGTTCTTTTTAACTAGCTTCCCTATACTGAGCAAATTACTCTTCATGCTTGGTATGTACAACACATTAAAAATTATTGACCTCTTGCCATCTTTCCTCATAATCAAAACATCATTAATACCTTCAACAGCTAGAGTATTATCATTTGCAAATTTCACTATGTTATAAGTCAAGGGTTTCATGTTGATAAACCAATCTTTCCTACCAGTCATGTGTGATGAGCATCCTGAGTCTAAGTACTACTGATCCTGGAATCTTTCTTCATCTCTTTTTGTGACCATCACCAACATTTCTTCTTCTTCATGTTTTTCCAACTTTGCATCAGTTTCTTGATTCTTCTTTTTTTCTCGACACTCACTAAAATAATGACCATACTTCTGACAATTGAAACATTGAATGTGACATTTGTCAAGCTTTTAACCACCACCTCTTCCTCTACCTGCAGCACCACCTCTTTGGTTGCCTTGGTTCCAGGGTTTTCTCTGATTCGACTAGTTTCCTTCATGCTGATTTTGATCAGTCGAATTGGTGTAGCCTCCTCTACCTTTGTTGCAATTCCAGCTTCCTTTGCATTTCCTTTCTTTTTCTGACTGCGTCTGCAAAGCCATATCACTCTTTAACTTTCCTGCAGCTCTTTCAGCCATCCTTTGTTCATGAGACTCAATCGTCCCTTGAAGCTTTTCCTTTGTTAATACTGACAAGTCTTTGGACTCTTCTATGGCTACTATCACGTGGCGGAATTTTGGAGCCAATGACCTCAAGATCTTTGACACAACTGATCTTGATGTCAACACTTCTCCACCTACCTTGATTTGATTCATCAGCTTTGTAACTTTGGTAAAGAAATCTGTTATACTTTCATTGTCTTCCATATGAAGCAATTCATAAGTCCTCTTGTGAGTTTGTAACGTCATCTCTTTCACATTCCCTGCACCTTCAAACGAATTTTCAAGAATCTTCCAAGCTTCTTTTGCTAATTCTACATCACTAACCTTTTCAAAGTTATTTGGATCAACACATTAATGAGTTATAAAGAGAGCTTTATAATCTTTCTACTTCAATTCTTTATATGCTGTTTTCTCCTGATCTGTCACAGTTTCTGCAAGCGGTGATAATCCCTCCTTCACAAGATCCCAAAGATCTTGGTAACAGAAAACCACCTTAATCGGCTTGCACCAATTCTCATAATTATCTTTCTTGAGAATTGGTAGATTTGTTGGAATGTGACTGTTCGGGTGATTCATCGCCATCACAGTTGTTCTTCCCTTGAATCAAAACCAGAACTCTAGATACCAGATGTTGGAATTCAACTAAGACCTATGGTGAATTCTTCTCAATCTTGATCTCAAGATTGTTATGTAATCACAATGAACAAAAACAAGAACATGTTTAAAGAAGATGTGTATGAACTGCAGAGTAACTCTTTGCCCACAACTGTGAAATTTTATTATCACTTTGCAACTGTAAAACTGTGATTATCAAACTTTTTATTATTACAATGAAAAAAGTTCCTCCCTATTTATAGATTTAGGTTAACTTGCATCTCAAGATAAAACCCAAACTATAAAAGTCGAAAAATATCTAATCTAATATTTTTAAATCAAATCTGATATTTCTAAATCAAATCTAATCTTTCTAAAACAATGAATTACATATTTAACAAATTCGTGTCCAATAAGTACAAGAAGCATCGAAATCAAATATTAACTAAGGAGGGAGAGAACAAATACACAAACATTATTCGGCTAACTACTACCAACTTATTAACTAAAAAGCGAAATTTTATAATTTCAAAAATAATAAACTTAAATCAAGACGGTTGATTCTAATCAAACGATTCTTGTTGAATTATTATCTGACTACATTGTTGAGTATAACAAGTGTGAGTAATATGAGTAATAATCTCACATTGATTAGAAATATGGAGACTTGAGCATTTATAGGTGAGAGAACTCACACACCTATCACTTTAAGTTTTTGTGTGAATATGTGGTGTGTCTCTCATAAAGGTACTTCTCTAAAAAAGAAGTTTCACAATATTTAATGTTCCATAGTGAAAAACTCCTCCGACAGTGGTATCATGAGCCTTTGGTTCGAGTGAAGGACTGACTCACTTGTATCGAAAGTACTCTCCATAGATGATGGGTATGAGGTGTCCTGTTGAAGAGTATTTGAATAGTATGGGTAAATGTCTTACATTGTCTAAAAATGTGGAGACTTAAGTATTTATAAGTGGGATAACTCACACACCTATCACCTTAAAGTGTAGGAAATCTTCGATCTAGATATTTCAGATATTTCAGCACTGTTGAAAGTGTTTTAAAATATTATTTAAAATTATGAAAGAGTTAAAAACATATTTGAAAAAGTGGATGAAACTTCTCAGAGCATTCTTTAACAACCTCTTGTATAACAATTTCTTCTAACATGGCAGCTACAAGGTTTAAATTGTTAAAATTTTACTATGCAATGATACCACTATAGGTACTATTTACAACATTATATGTTAAATAGTGTATGGTAAAATTGTAGTGGATTGTCCAAATTCGACTTCATTACTGTGTTATTATAGTTATATTTAACTACAAAAATATGCAAAACAATAGAAATAATAGTATTTTTGGTGATAAGACGAAGATCACTATAATAGGAAGGAAAGTAATAGATACTTTGGTGTATAGAGGTTGGAATACGAAGAAGTTAAGGAAGTATATAACTATCTTATTGATAGAGGGGGATAGTTAGATAGATAGTTGTTTTATCCCTTTTTGGTCCTAGGTTGTCTTATTTTGTAGCTGGATCCACTGAGATCGCTTGTATCTGTCGACTTTTTTGAGTAATATAGTTTATTATTTTAAAAAAAAAAATGCAAAACAACGCAACAAAAATTGGATGGAAATGATTGGCCGAAATCCGTTTAATCCGAACCAAAATACTATCTTACCAACGGTTTCATTTGGGATATGTTTAAATTGGTGATTTGAAATAGAATGGAATGATAACTAATAAAATTTTATTCTTTGAATTTGTAAATAAAAGATAAAATAAAATAAAATATGATAGAATCTATTACATCTAATTTCATCAAAACATACTAACAATTAAGCCATTAAAAAAATATAAAGAATATAGGAAGGAATATGACATAGTATAAAAGCATGTAACAAGTCATAGTAATAACCTCTCTAATAAAAAGCGTAGTTATCAAGCAAGCGAGTCAACGAACATATCAATGGGCTCACTTCTCTCTTCCATCATCGGCGGCGGCCCCGCCTATGAATCATCAGAATCCTCCGATCATTCCGTCAAAACATTCCACTCATCCGCACGCTGGCAGCTCCACTTCAACGAAATCAAAGACTCTCCTAGTCTCGTAAACCCTAATAATCTCTTCAAATCTCAATTTCCCCCTTTTTTAAACCTAATTTTTCAGATCTGAATTTTTTGATTCTCTCTTTTACAAAAGGTTGTGATAGATTTCTCTGCTACGTGGTGTGGACCGTGTAAAATGATGGAACCGATTGTTCACGCCATGGCTAACGAATTCAGGGACGTTGAATTCATCAAGATCGACGTTGACGAATTATCGGTAAAATTATTATTATTCATAATTTGATTTCAATGGTTTTTTATATTTTAATTTTATTTATTTATAATGTTTTATTTAACTTTTCTCTGATTTTTTTTGGGGGAAATAATAGGATGTGGCGCAGGAGTTTAAGGTGCAGGCTATGCCGACGTTTTTGTTGTTGAAGAATGGGAGAGAGGTTGATAAGATTGTTGGTGCGAAAAAAGATGAACTCAAAAACAAGATTCAAAAATATAGAGCTTAGTAATTATTTATCTTTTATTTTTCAGTAATAAAGAAAAAATTGAACATGATGTTATTATGAAGATAAAATTGTAAAATTTTAACTTGTTGAATGATGTTTATGTATTTGTTTGGTATTGCATATGATTTGTGAATGTAATGTAAAATTGTTAATTGGAGTGTTTTAGGTTCAAGTTTCATGTAGTGTGATCTTCAAAAGTTGATTTAACTTCTTTGTTAGTTGTATAAAGGTTAGTGCCAGTGAACATTTGAGGAGAGAGATAAGATAAAACGTTGAACCATATTAATGAAGGTAAATGGTTCATGTTGGAATTTGGGATGATTAAAATTTCATGGGAAGATTTAGGAAGAATTGATTGAAATTAAATTGGCAAAAACAAATATATGGAAGAGAATTTAAAAGGGATTATTAGTTTGGTGGCGTGTCCTCGCTCTATTAATATGTATTGTCTCTTTTATGTGAAACTAAAATGTTTTTTTTTTAATTTTAAATTTACTTACATTACTAACTCGTAGTTGTATTTTTTTTTTTTTTATCAATTTAATGTTAATAATTCTTCAAAGTTCCCACATCAAATTTTCATCATCCCAAATTCCAACATTTTATATACCAATTGAGAAAGTTAGCGGAAAATGGCATTTTTCACATTAGCCTTAATTTGGAAAGAAAAAATAGGGGATAACATATAAATGATATTTCCTTATGTTTCAGTTTTTAATACAAAAGTGTTCTAAAATTAGTTATCTATTTTAATTTTTAATACATATTTTTCAATTCTACCATCTAATTAATAAATTATTCAACAATTATTATAAGAGAAAATACTTTTTAATGTATTGAATAAATGATATATCTATTCATTATTATATATCATGTTAAATATATAAATCCCCCTGAGAAGTAAGCGAGATTCGCTTTAACTCATTGTAAAAGAATGTTTTTTTATTCACCTCGTAATATTAAGATTCCCTTTATAAGGCTCTCATGCACAGTATTTCAGCTTAAACTCCCTTATTTTTCCAGCGTGACATATATGTTAATGTCAGGTGGATTAAATTTTACAGCGTGACATATATGTTATATTGCATTTCTGCTAGGGTTTTGTAGGATTCCAATTTTTCCTCGTTCTTCATCCATATCGTTTGCTGATTGCAATTTTTCCTCTTTCTTGATCCCTTCCTCTTTCTTTATCTGGCAAACAAGTTCCCAATTAATCGATAATCATCTTTCACGGGTTTGAAAACATGGGTGGAAGCAAAACATCATCTAGTGGTAACTCACGTGGACTTAGTTTTCCCATATATGAATGTAATGAACTAATGAAGATGTGGGTATCAAACACCAATGAAAACCCTAATTGAAAATTTTGGAAATGTCAAAATTCAGGGGTAAGTCTCTGTTCATGTTTCTCTTCGTTTTTTCATATACTTTAACCCTTTTGTTTTGAACCTAATTGCATAGTGAGTTAAGCTGTGAGTTTTTTATGTGGGACAATGAGCTTGGTCTGGTTCAAAGGACTCAAATGATTCTCAGAATATGTTGTGTATTTGAGGGAATATGCGAATGACATTGGCATGGAACTTGAGACTGAAATTGACAAGGAGTTTGGTGTAGAATTCAATTCAAAGAAGCTTGAAAAGATGAAGAAAAAGCTTGTAATGGAGAAGAAAAAAAAACATTAGTTGATGATTGCATTTGTTGTGTCATGGATTTTGTACTCAATCTTTGTTAAGTTAATCTAATCTTGTGTATCAAATGTTGTATCCGTTTATTAATCTTTGTTAATTTATTTTGATGTATAAGTAATCAATTGACATTTTATATAATGAAAATGTTAGTATTTGTTAAAATTATAGTCTGATATTGTAGTTTATTTAAAATTCTGGTCTGAAATTGTAGTCTGCAAAACTGAAAAATAATTATGGAACATCATTACAAAGTAGCACATAGGGTGCATAATTCATTACAAAGTAGCACATAGAGTGCATAAGTCATAGACAAAATGGCACACGCAGAGGTAACAAAATATCACATAATGTGCATCAGTACAAGCATAACTTAAACATACTACTTGTAACTTAATACAGACATAGAGTTCATCAACTATTATTTCTTTTTCTTCCAAAGACTTCAATGATCTGGTTAGCACCCCAAGCTTTAAATCATGTCCATGAGAACTTTTTCCCTGTGTACTTGTTCCTTCATCATGTTCTATTACCGTGATTGACTGGTCACTAGATGATCCCTAACCTATGATTGGTTTTTGAAAGCATCCTAACTTAATTATTTCACTATGCCTTTTTCTCATTTTCATTAAGACTTTTTTTTCCTTCTTTTGTTTTGCTTGTACTTGACTTAAACCAGTCTGACTTGTGTCAACCACACATGAGCTTGCTTGACTTGCAACAACATTTTTATCTGCAACAACATTGATATCTACATCAACCTTGTTATCAGCTTGACTTGCATAAGGTTGCACACCACCATGGACATTTGGCCACACATCCACATTTTTCTGCACATTCTTCTGCTTTGACTTAGCTCTAGCTTGTTCAGTTGTTGGTTTCCTCTACATTTAAAATAGCACAATGCATACAAATAATATTTCTATTACGTTCAAAATAGCACAATGCAATGTACACAAATAAAATTTATGTTACCTTTCTTTTCAAAGCATTTGGGTCTTGTGTAAGGCTCTTGTATGACAAAGCATTGTGCCCAAACTTGACACATTTGGTGCACTTATAAGCTACACTAGGTCTTCTCCTCCTAACATCATCCTCACCACATTCCCTTATCCTAACTTTCCTTGGTCTTCCAGGTCCATTTTTATATACAGGAGGTAGTAATTCATCAGTTTGGACCTCTGACCACATCATGTTCTATTACCGTGATTGACTGGTCACTAGATGATCCCTAACCTATGATTGGTTTTTGAAAGCATCCTAACTTAATTATTTCACTATGCCTTTTTCTCATTTTCATTAAGACTTTTTTTTCCTTCTTTTGTTTTGCTTGTACTTGACTTAAACCAGTCTGACTTGTGTCAACCACACATGAGCTTGCTTGACTTGCAACAACATTTTTATCTGCAACAACATTGATATCTACATCAACCTTGTTATCAGCTTGACTTGCATAAGGTTGCACACCACCATGGACATTTGGCCACACATCCACATTTTTCTGCACATTCTTCTGCTTTGGCTTAGCTCTAGCTTGTTCAGTTGTTGGTTTCCTCTACATTTAAAATATCACAATGCATACAAATAATATTTCTATTACGTTCAAAATAGCACAATGCAATGTACACAAATAAAATTTATGTTACCTTTCTTTTCAAAGCATTTGGGTCTTGTGTAAGGCTCTTGTATGACAAAGCATTGTGCCCAAACTTGACACATTTGGTGCACTTATAAGCTACACTAGGTCTTCTCCTCCTAACATCGTCCTCACCACATTCCCTTATCCTAACTTTCCTTGGTCTTCCAGGTCCATTTTTATATACAGGAGGTAGTAATTCATCAGTTTGGACCTCTGACCACATCTCTTGTCTATTGATAGGACTCACAAAAATCCATAACAAAGTTCATGCTTCTCTCTTGTATAACAGTCATCAACAAAATCATCAGGGTTTTTTTTTCTATAACTCAATACAACAACAATATGCCTACATGGAATTCCAACCAATTCCCAGAAGTTACAACTACAAGATCTTTTGGCAATGTCAACAATGAATTCTTGTGTGTTAAAAGTATATGTAACCTGGAGTTGTTCAGCAATAGAATAAGTTGGATGCCATTGACCACTATTGAACACCTTATTATCTAACTTCTTCTTGTGTATTTACATAACTCTATGTTGCCACTTATCAGGTTTGGTGGAAAATGTTTTTAACTTATTCACAAGATACTTTCTAATCCACTCACACATGGTTAAAATAGACTTATCCCTAGTAACTAAAATATTGGCATTAAATGACTCTGATATATTATTCATTAAGACATCACATTTAGTGTAAAATCTAAAAGCATGCTTACACCAACATTTGGTAGGAACTGCCATTAACCAAGTCCAAACCTTGACATTTACTTTCTTCAGCTCATTCATATTTTGGATCCAACCTTGACAGTAAGTAGCCTTAGTAGCTCTCATCATAAAATCCCCTATAAGGGTTCCACCACCAAACTTTTTCTTAAAATTTGCATACAAGTGTTTGAGACACAATCTATGCTTAATTATGTCAAACATTTCTTCAAAAACAACCACTAATCCCTGAAACATATTAAGAACATATGCATCACATCAGCATTAGTTTAGAAACACAAATATAACATATGCATTACTTTACCAACATAGACACAACATATGCATCACTTTACCAACATAGACTCCACATGATGAACTCAATTTACCAACATACACACAACATATAAATGAGTTTACCAACAAATATAGGTGATGAAATGAATAAAACACATGATGTTAATATCATACCTTATGTTGATCTGAGATTAATACATATCTTCTTTCTTATCCAATATCTTCCATCAATAATTGTAGAAACCCCCTAACTCTCCTTTATTTCAGTTCCAACAAAATAAATGTCAATCATAAGTATTGATCATCGAGATCCTTACCCATAATAATTAGAAGTTGTCCACCATATTTGGTCTTCATATGACAACCATCAACTCCAACAAATGGTCTAAATAAATTTATGAAACCCTTCTTACAACCATCAAAACAGAAGTAAAATGAGCCAAACCTTGGTTGTATCAATGGCAATGGTCGTTCAACATTGATCTTCACATTATTCCCAGAATTATCCCTTGTTAGTTCGGCAACATACCTCCACAAATTTGCATATTTCTTGTCAGCATCCCCTTCAATAATTTTCTTTGCCATCAATTTTGCTCTTCATTCTCTAGCAACATTGATACCTACAGAGGAATTTTGTATGATATCTTGCATAATATCATGGATTCTCACTATTTCAG